CCGGGCGGCCGCTTTCACCGCGCGGGGGAATTAGTGTGAGCGCGACAAGCGAATTACTCTTTATTCTCTTTGTAATCATTATCACCTGTACATCTTCTTCATCTAAGAATATCATCACCAGCGTGATTGAGCTCGAGCCTGGCCGAATAAACCGGTTCCTCACAATATATACTCCAACGATACAGGCGTCACGCCGGGTTAGCATCAATTGCAGTTAAGCACCATCCACTGAAGTTGTTCTCCGTAGCACTATCCAGGGCTGCCGTTCTCGCAAGCACAAGTGCTATATTTTAGGTGCGAAGCTCCTTAGGGCGTGGGTCTGTACATCCCATGGGGTTTGTTGTTGGTGAAGTACGTAGCCACCGATGGCGGTACTTGTATGTGGAAATAGATGGCAGTACTTGTAGTTGATGATGCCGCTCATACTCGTTGGTGATTTTAACGTTGATATCGCAGACACGACCAGTAATTGGCTTATCCAACATGCGGCTTCTAGATATGCACTCAGATGTATATCGTATGGCCACATGAGACCAACCACGATCCGAGGAACATGCATTGACCTGTTATTTGGAAATTTCCCGCTGCAACCTATACAGGAACCGCTCACCATTTCACGGATCATAAAGCCGTCATATTGAACATCGCAAGCCGTCCATCGTCCCTTAGAACAAATAAATGTTGCTTTCTATATTTACACACATAGTGTTTCTCATGATGTCTTCAGATCATGATCGATTGCGTGGATTAAAAACGGCAGATTCACAGTATTACCGATGATTCTCTCCGGAGCTTCTCCCACTCGTCATCATTCACCCAGTGGATACGCGGTGATTTTTTTTCTGCTTATACCGTTTCTGGTGTTGGCAATGTCCACGTGGCTCTCGGCATCGTTACGAAACTATTAACAACTGGTTATATAAAACATATGCGACTGTTCAATAAACATGTCGGTGCGTATTCATAGGTATGCTTAGCGTCATTTCGTAACCTTTCGTTCAACAACAACAACAACAACAACAACAACAACAACAACAACAACAACAACAACAACAACAACAACAACAACAACAAAGTATTTCGCAGTCGTCTTCTCTCTGCATACTTTGCATGAAATCGATCCCCATGGTACGTGGGATTTGCTGAAATTCTTCCTACGAGCTGTCATGATCTAGTGTGTGGAGAGCATGGATAGCGTACACCACGCAAAAGAGAGAGATCTTGTTTCCATCAAGCGAAAAAAAAAAGAAAAGGAAAGCTTCGGAGCCCGAATACAGCGGTTGAAATGCGCCTCATATCCGATGGAACTTTTGCGTGCCTTGGCAGCGAAGCTACACTGAGCGAGCTTTTCAAGGAAAGCACTACGAAGCGCCCAGCACAGCAACAACGACATTTTTTTTTTTCTGTGACTTACCCGGAGCTACCGATGGCAACACCGTGGAGGACCCGGACACCCATCGATCCCAGTTACAAAGCGATCCTGCAATACTACAGATAATTGCGGGGACTTTGCCCAGCACCACACAAGAACCTTTCGACCGTGGACTCTGCGACGCCACGCCGACTCCAGATGAACACACATATAAACATCCACAGATTACATACGTACTACCCCATAACATGCAAATGCATCCGCTCGTGGTGTGGAAGGCCACCGATGCTCTATACCACATCACGTGGAAATGCGTTCTCGGCACACATGTACCGAAGACTGGCAGACAAGCAGGCAAAGAACAGTTTCATCCGGAGACGACGCTCATTCCCCCCCTTAGGGGGCAACATCGGCGGGCCGCACCCAAGACTGGAGGGAAAGGTGCATCTCCTCGGTCATGTCATGGGCTCTCTGGATAGCCCATAGCTGGTCCCCCTTCTTCGTTGCTTGTGAGAATAGATCGCAAGTCCTCCTCCGTAAAGGGATACCCGGGGCTCTATAAACACATGCTGTGGCAATGCGTTGTATCAAGTGCAGCGTGGGTTACCACAGTGAGGGCAGCCTCGCTGTAACCGTCCATATATTTAGAACATTTAAGGGGGGAAGCGTATGCCTCAGTCTGTAGTTGACGTAAAGCCATCGTTCTAATTTATAGTGCATGCTAATTTCGTGAGAGGCTAGGAGGGGTCACTTTCTTTGTACGATTTAATGATGTATATATGTATATATGCGTGTGTGCGGCTTTGTGTTTCTATAATTATGTAAAAGTGCAGGAGTACATATGTATTTATATTAATATGTAGTATGTTTGTATGTAATATTGCCGCACTGCCAAATACATAGGGTTGTAAGGCTAGTCAAGCTGTCCGGAGACAGCTTTTTTTACAATCCCCCCATTTGTATCTCACAAAAACAAAGATAGGAAATGAAGTTATTATTATTATTATTATTATTATTATTATTATTATTATTATTATTATTATTATTATTATTATTATTATTATTATTATTATTATTATTATTATTATTATTAGTCATGTGCTTATTGCCTAAGTGCATCATCCAAAGCCAGGACTCGTACCCGTAATATTCTCGCTGCAAATAAAGTTATGCAACATGTTAATTTTCTTCGTATCATTTTTGTATCATCTGCGCGAGTCTTTTTGTGGGATTTCAAGAAAAATCGAAGATTGTTTTTAATACTAATTTTTCATGAGGCTTAACTGTCACCGAAATTTAGAGTTTGAGGTCATTTATTCAAATAATTATTTGGGGTACAGCAACAGTATTGGGAGGCCATATTGTGAACATGATTTTGTAATATGTCAAGAAGCTATGAAACACTGGCGGGTTTACCTTAGGAGACAAAAAAAAAATCGCAAATATAGCAACTTTAAAAATATGTATCCTATTCATACAATTTTTCTTAAACAGTATGATTCAGCCCACAGGCTTGAAACAATGCTGCTTCACTATTAACCACGCGTACATTTATTAAAAAAAAGTATCGTCTTCGTAACGCTAATATCTGTGTTTTTACATTGTCGTTAACTTTCGAGAATGACTAGGGACGAAGTTGGTCCCTCCGTAGAGAATATATTCGATTTTTTTTCCTCCTAAATTATGCAGCTAAAAAAAAAAATGATGTTCACTTTCGGGCTACTAGGTGGTACGCTCACAAAATGTAAAATACCTAAACAAATCTAAAATATCAATTTTCGCACCCATGTCCATCTCTCTTGGAATCGCTGAACCGCAAAAGCATCCAAGCCCATGCCATGTAAGTCATGACGTTCATGACATGCATGTCACGATTTTCGTGTTATGATCTTTTATTTATGTTCGTCCCGGTCATCTTATACCGTACCAATTTCGGTATCCCATGTACGACAAACGGACAAAAAGCACGAAGTCGGATAGATAGATAGATAGATAGATAGATAGATAGATAGATAGATAGATAGATAGATAGATAGATAGATAGATAGATAGATAGATAGATAGATAGATAGATAGATAGATAGATAGATAGATAGATAGATAGATAGATAGATAGATAGATAGATAGATAGATAGATAGATAGATAGATAGATAGATTCGCATTGTGTTTCGACAGTGGCTGCTCTTGGGGAAGGGGGAGGGCGGCAAGCGAAAACTTTGAGGGGTTGTACGCCCCATCGTCTCAATGACCCTGAATCGTGGAACAAAAAAGAACTGAAAGAATAGAGAGTAAAAGTCCCGTCGTGAACTCCAAGCTACACCTATCCTGCGCATGTCTGTGCTCTCTTCATTCTCGTCTGCTGTTTTTTTTTTTTTTTGCGCAAAATTCTATGCACAACGGGATACAAATTCACCCAACGCTCGGTTCATCATGGAAATCATGCGCTAATAGTGAGTGCACCACGATAGGTTAAAAAAAAAAAAATAAAAGCCTTGCTCGTGCCTCGACAGGAGCGAAATTTACCGCTGCCGGTTCCCCATCGGCCTTACCTACATGTGCTGCCGTGTACTGCGCGCGAATTCGCAACTGCTGAAGTCGCGTGCAATTCCTTCTTCCTGTCTCGCCGGTTTGTTTTACTGTTATTGTTTTCTTTCACTTACTATCGCTGCCCATTCTGTCTTGTTCCTGACGGCTCGCAAGGTCACGGACGTCTTTCGAGAAGAATCGCTGCCGCGTTTCGCGCTCTACAGTACTACAATGTACTAGAATGTACCAGAACACTGTAGCAGCCCGCATAGCTGAGCATTCCTGCGATCACACAGTCGACTCTGTTAAACAAGCTGTGCTTGAAAACGTGTCACACATTGCTGTCGCTAATGTAGTAACACGGCTTTTACCGCCATCTATGTTTAGAAACATAAACTACAAACTAGCGTTTGGTGGGAATAAATCAAACAAAACATTTATTTTCACGTGTAGAGGACAGAACAGTCGCTCGCTTTCTAACAGTCGTGTTTGGTGGTGCGAGTGGGTTATGAAGATTAATATCCCCCACCGCGGTGGTCTAGTGGCTGAGGTACTCAAAGTGGTAGGTGTTCTGCGGTACTCAGCTGTTCACCCGTAGATCGCGGGATCGAATCCCGGCTGCGTTTTCGATGGAGGCGAAAATGCTGTCGGCCGGCGTTAGAGTGACCTAGAAACCGGCGTGCTCAGATTGGGGTGCACGTTAAAGGACCCCAGTTGATCGAAATTTCCGGAGTCCTCCACCACGGCGTCTCGCATACCCACACATCAATCATCAATGAAGAATAATTTCGCGGCTGTGCTACTCAGCGAGGATCCTGACGCGCACTCGCAAGCGGCGACAACACACACGCTCCCATACGAGCGGGTCCGCTTGAAAGGCGCGGCCGGACGACGTAGCGAAAACATGTGCTTTCCGAATGACGGGACTCCCTGACGCACAGAGCGATGACGCACGGTCTGGGCGAGCCGACCGGCGCCGGCGTCCACAAAACAAAATACTAGTAAACCACAACGCAGTAAACGCAGTACGCCTTTCCCCTCTCTCTACTACCACCACTCCGCACAGCGAGCTGCAAGCAGCTTGCGTCTCATTCCACGGACCGCGCAGGCGATACCAACAAACTCTTGCGTCGGCCTGTGCAGTTTGTGGCCGGCTTCTTCGCGGTGTGGTTGTGGCTGTTCATTCATGTGAAGCGGTTCGACGGTATACGTGTAAAGCTTCGCAAGATTCTTCTGAAGGAGGGAAGGAAAGCTGCGACAGTTCTTACTTACGTTCTTTTCCGTATATTTGCTGTTCGGTGTCAGCACGGATGCGTGCTGGCGGGTGTGGTGTTGGTGTACGACCACTACACCGGCGTAGCACACCGTAGCGTGTACCGAGCTTCAATCGTTTCCTTGGCGTGTTGTGTGGCCGTGCGGCGCGGCGGTGTCGCGGTGCCCCCAACCAAATCGTCGAGAGGAACCCCCCTTTTTTTCGTCGTTCTTCGAGCAGTGCTGTCGTCGACACGACCGCTGAAAAAAAACGATGACTTCTAGCAGCGGCTAGCCGTAGCGACGCCTTGAAAACGAACAAGAAAAGAAGTTCCGTCAACATCGCCCCTCAAACCAGAGAATGTCCTCTGGTGCTCCTTCCAATGAGGTAAGTTTTTGAGTTGGTTGCACCTAGCGATCGGGGAACCCAGCGTCAGTTGTTTAGACCCCTCGTCGCTTCGAAACGAAGCGAGGGGGGTAGTCCTTAGGGGCTATCCCAGTTACGTGTCTATTTACTGTTCGTAGTGGTATACAAAATGTGCCGGCGATCGCCGGCGGGAGTTCGCAAGAGGTGGTGGGGGAGGGAGGGCGTTAGGCCTAACCAGGAATGTCACTGACCTTTTGTGTCTGGGGTGCGCTTGTTTGTCGCGTCGGGGAAAGTCCCGAGCTTCCATTCGCTCCGACGCACGCAGTTTTACGCTTGTTCTTCTTCGTTGTCGGTTTGTTGGCTTTCTCCATACTTGAAAGGAATGCGGCCGCGTAGTTTGTCGTTTCTTTTTCAAAAGCTACGCGTGCACGATCGAGGTTTTTTTTAGAGGAGCCGCGCCGGCATCGGAGAACCAAAACAATCTTTTTTTTTTTTTCTCCTCGTGCGTGAGATGTAGCAGGAAAACTGGCGATATCATAGAGACAGGGCCCGAAACAATGCATCGATGGAAGCCGTCACACTAACACGTCTTTCGTAGTACGTGGTGTTGGAAAGGTTTTGTTGCTTCTCGATGTGCTGCCACTATGTTGTTCTTCGAAATAGGGTAGCCGTCGTTCAGAGTTCATAATTTTTCTTCGGTACTGTTTTGCTCGAACAATGGATGTGCTGAAATATCCGTGCTAGTGTTCTCTTCCCGGAAGAACTGGCTATGTTCGTGTGATTCGAGGTACCCGTTTTCACGGTGTGCAGAAAAAGGAAAAGAAATCGCCTGACCGGCGGCAAACACTCTTCACTAACGAACGAATGCATCTTTCTTGCGTTGTCGAACGCGGCTACTGAATTCGTGCGTAATCGTTGTGATGGTAGTATTGCCTCTCAGCTGTGGTAAATTGCTGTGAAGTCCTGCTATTCTTTGCGTCTTGGAAGATCCTACACCTAGATGACAATGTTTTCGATGCGCGAAATGAAGTCCGTCGCTTCCCGAAGTTGTGAACAATTGTTTGTTCGCTCGACCCAGTGAAAAAAATAATTCCTTTTGCAGTTATCACGGCTATTGGCTGCGCGAGTCAATTACAGTAAATAAAATACATAATTGTTTGCAGTTTGATGTCCCAAAACCACGATATGACTGTGAGAAACGTCGCAGTGAAAGGGTCAAAAAATTTTTGACCGCTTTTTTTGTTTTTTTTTTTTTTGCATCCGTTCCGTTTTCGAAGTGCGGCGGCCGGGATTCGATCCCGGGACCGCCAGGTCGGCCGTTGAGCGTTGTGTTACTTGTTCAAAGCATCAAGTTTGTGAACATTCTCGCGTAACAGCGAGACAAAAAAAAAAATGGCGCTGTACTTTTTATTCTGTCCTGTTTTTTTTCTTTTCTCGCATTGTTCTGCCACAGTGTTCACGAACTGGTTATTTCAGCTAATAACTTGTGTTCGAAATTGTTCAAAGCTTCTGCTTCTTATGAATTTCGGAATCGTCGTTGAGATAAACTTGTTTGTAATGAGACAGCGGTGTGGTTGTTTTTCACACAAAAAAAGCAAAAGGCAAGATAAACACTTCTCCCCGTGTTTCGACACAGAAAACACATTGAGAGATAACTGTCGCATCTCCTCGAACGATTAAAAATAATTAAGTAAAAAAAAAGATCTTGAAGGCCGGCCGTGAAACCACTTTCGTTACTTTCTTTGTTGTCAGGGTGAACTTCACCGATAGGGAACCACGAGCAATGAAAGAAAACACTTTTTGTTGTTGTTTTTGTGGCCTTTCACGCGACGACCCAGGCGTTTGTGGCGGTCGGGGTCATGACCGACACCGCCCGGAGTCTTATCGATTTGCGTACGTCAAAACTTCTCCTCCTTCGAGTGAACAACAGCCAGAATAGCCTACCGCGTTTTGCTTGCTTGTTTTTGGTGTGCTACGGCATTAACAAGATCCTTTTGTGAGGACGTAGCTAGCTTGAGCAAGCCTTTTGCCGAACTCTCGTGATAGTGTCGTAGTTTTTTTGTTCGTTTTGTTTGTTTTTCACCTTTCGTAGGAAGGTGTTATAACGCGAAAGCCTTAGAGGTCTCATCGAGTGCGACAGTTTCACCGAACGTCATCGCGAGTGGCGCAAGAGATCGTTACGTAATCATGTCGCCCTGTTACGTCATTGATAGCCAGAAATTCGTGACGTAAAAAGTTTCTGCGTCTCAGCGCCACGTTAAATGCCCGCGTACCGGGCGATGCCTGTGCCATCTAAAGCACAGTGATGATCAAAATTTCCGAAGCCCTCTCCTACCGCGGCCCTCATAATTATATCGTGGTTGTGAGAGTTGTTATTTTGTTGTTATCTGCGCCTCAGTTAGCCCGCCAAGCGATGATGTGATGACGTCACATGGTGATGTCGTTGCTTGGCCAGAAGTGGGCTGATCACGGAGGCTGTGCAAAAAGCAGGGAAGGTGAAGACAGATTTTAATGTATTCAGTGTTGAAGACAATGCACAGGTAGGTATATTAGGTGCAGAACACTTTCGCAGGGGAGGCGAGGGAAGATCAATACGCCGACTAGGAAGATGGCTTTCGCCCTTGAGTCAACTTGGGTGAATGTAAACTCAATTTGTACAGCATCAGACACAGTTAGTTCAGGATGCATTATTGTTAGTTCTGATTAGTACTGTGTCAAACAAAAATGTGCCCTTAAATCTACCTTACGTCTACCGGGGTCAGTTATGGAAGTGCTGCTCCAAAAGAGATATGCTGCTCCGGGCAGTAATTTTTGTTCGTGATTGCTCCAATGCTGCTCCAGAATCACACTGAAAGTGAGAATGGCAAATTTTTACCGTTTGACGGACTCGTAAATCCTAAAGAAACTAAAAAGAATCTGTATACTAGCATCTCAGTATGCTATTAGTGTGCAGCATTGTCGGCTCTGATCTCATTTGTGTGACAAGAACTGACATATTAAGCATATATCTCCCTCGTCAGTTTTTTTCTTTCTTTCCAGCAAGACATGTCGGCTAGTGTGGTAAAATGTGAAAATGAGCAGGATCGCCTTTATCTCCTACCAGATATGTATTGCTTATTTGTCAATAGTTATGTGGGCCTGTGGGTACTTTTAAAACGTCGTTTCCAGCTTTACCGTTTTGATTTGAATTCTACCACAATTACTAGTATTTTAAATATATAGCCAATTCCGCAGCCTATTTTCGACAACTAGCCATCTTTTTAATTGTTTGCTTCTTGAATTTCACCTCCATTGCAGTCTGTGATGTATGTTTCATAATAAATAATATTTGTGAGATGCTTCAACAATGCTTTTTAATTGCAATTGGCGTATGACAAGTTTTGAGTCTGCTCCAAAAACACCAATAGCTGCTCCATACGAACATATTTTTTCTCTCCGAAAACACTTATTGCTGCTCCAAAACAGTACTTTTCCTGCTTGAAGTTATGCTTCAAAAACTAAAAAGTCACTTCCATCACTGTTGGGTTCTTGAAAGACTGTGTCACTGCTTCTTTTCAATGCAACAATATCAAACAAAGGTGTTTGAAATGCCAGCTTTGGTGTTTTTATAGCGAAGTGGTCTGAGTCTACGCTTACCAGTTGTCATATACAGTAACAGTAGTAGAAATAAAGAAAAAAAACTACAGGAAGAGGAATATTTGGAAGCTTGCTATCAGACAAATTTATAAACGACGGTCGTGAGCTAGAGCGGATATTACAACAAGCAGACTTTACTTCTTCAAGGCGTGAACTGCCTTGAAGAAGACAAGTCACAAGACAAGAAAAAACAATTTCCACTTGTCGAAATGCCGGCTCGAGCACGCGACCGTTGTTTACGAACCTCTTCACAGCAGCACTTGTAGTCACACAGGTCACAGGGCAGGAGGCAATGAAGAAATTAAGCGAAATTATGATTATGCACGCCATCTCGCTCGCTTGGCCAATAACACAAGTCATATTTCGAGAAAAGGGAAGTAAGTGCTTGCTCAGGTAGGGGTGCTGGCTCGTAATTTCGTGACAATAAATTTAGGAAGGCTAGAAAAGAGAGAGAGAGAGAAAAAAAGGAAAACGTGGCAAGCAGTTGTTTATGGTGGCGTGAAGCCAGAATTTATCAAAAGTGCATGATGCAACGCCTGCGCAATGTGCAATAACACTTCCTCGCGAAAAAAGTTGTTTCCACTTGGTGCCAGATTACGCGAGCTCGTGCAACCACATCATTGCGTGGTTCTCGTGTAGGCTGATAACAGGTGTAGCCCTTGCGCAATAATAATATCTCAACGTCAGCTTGGTTTCTCGGGCATTCTGATAACGTCTGGATAGTGAGCGATCCGATCCGTAGTTGTTTTTCTATTCTGAGAATTTTGATCTTCTAATCTCCAGATGTCCTAATCGCGCCATCGCCTGTCCCGTTCTCTTTTCATTCAGAACCCACGATGCAGTGGAGAGCTAATGAAATTTCTGTTGTCGACGAGCTTTGAATGCCCGGCTAGCTGTTGGCATATCTTTGTGTGTAACGATGCGTGGAAGCATTTTTCTGACTTCGACAGCGTTCATTGTAGAATCATTACATATATTGTTCGTCATTGAGTGGGTGTGCGGCGATTCCAGATATGCATGACAAGTTAAATGCAAGGACACTGCTTCAGAATCAATAGCTGGGCTGGTTGACTATTAATAATAGTTAATGATTACACTGCATAAAAACATGAAAACCAAAAGGAAACTCAAGACAAGTGCAAACTGTCAAGTCAGTTTTACTTTAAAAAACGTGAGTGCTTATGAATGGAAAAAAACTGATATCGTCATCATGAAGCTAGATGAAGGCAATCTCTTTAGCTGAGAAATGCGACTGACATGCACCTACTGCATGCGTTTCCTATGAGACTGTGATAACTTTTAGCCAAAATAATTCCAGCTACTTCAGTGGAGTCATTTGAAAGTCATAATTAATTAACCTAGCCCAACAGGCAATTTAATCGAATTGCTTAGCTTCCTGAATCTATCTTACGTTTCTGTTAAGTGTTATTCAAACTGCCTTTTATTTCCATCATTGCGGTTTTCAGAGGAGTGTAAAAGAACCTGCCGACAGCCCTACAGCTGGAACCGCCGCGATGCCTACGCCCGTCACCGGTGGCGCCACCTCGACAGGTGCCGCCGCGGCGTTGTCCAACAACGTGGCAGCAGCATCTAAGGACGGCGCCGAGGAGCCAAAGCAACCCGCCAAGATGTGCGCCAACGACTTCATCTTTGGCAAGCTCATCGGCGAAGGCTCGTTTTCCATGGTGAGCGTCTGAGGCCTGCTTCCTTCTCTTTTCTATGGGGTCGAAACCTTAGAGTCTAGTATACTCGGTTGCAAAAGAAATGTAAGCTCTGCGCACAGAACCATGGCACACCTGCCCTCCACCTGTGAAAGGTAATCGTGCTAGCCGGCTTCCGCTCGAACCGTCGGTACTTTTGCTCATGTAACGTAAATACTACGCATATTAGTGTTACTACCTAAAACATTTGGTTTGGCCGAGCACTGAAGCTGTGTAAGTGGTGAATAACATTGAATTGATTCTTTGTGATGAGACCAAATAGACCAAATTTGCACAGCGTTGTTTTCAGGCACTCAGTACGTATTGTGACACAAATAAAATGATGTCATAATACTTTAATTCATGGTTGTCATGGTAATTCATTCTAATCTTGATTAAATTATTATTTTTTAACCTGCACTCACTCATGTTCTGTTCGAGAATAAACAGAATTGCGTGTAGAAAAACACATACAGTAAAGTTTCACTTTTGGTTGAGCCCTTTTTAAGGAGCGAAAATTTTTTTGAGGCAGCTCGTGGAAAGTGGCACATAAACTAACGTTTGAGCACGACAGTGCCTTTAGCGAATTGATCACATGAGACTGCACATTGCAAAGTGAGGTTAAATTAGGGCTCATTTGTTATGCAGTAGGTTCATTTTATCCAATCCTCAATGTATCGTATCTTTCTTAGCCCACAGTGAACACATTGAGCAAGAAAAAATTGTGTGCACAGATATGCACACAGCATCTCAAATTTTTGAAACATTTACTGATACAAAAATTATTAGTCTTGGTTTTACCAAGACCCACTTATCACTGCCAGAAAACTTGTTTGCCTGAGTGTGCGGTGGTTAATTATTTGGGGACATTTTTGTCGAGCCCTGTCGCCGTATCGATTTCCGAAAGCGCCGAGAGAGGCGGGTTACAGTGTGTAATTCGGCAAACACAGCTGGCCGCGTGAGTGCACAAAAATGGCGATGCGTGTGGCCACTCTCTTTGTGCACACTGTGCGCAGCGGCATCGTGTCGATTTGAGCACCGAGTTGACGACTGCAGGAGAAAAAGTAAGATCAGTTCAATCGACTGATAAAAAGAAAACAAAAAAATACCTCATAGCGTGGCTGTATTTTTTTAGTCATCTTAGGCGAATGGACACTTTACTTCACGACAAAGGGGCCCTGCAACAATTTTTGAGCATGGTCGGAAAACGCTGGCTGTCATTAGTTGCGGCTCCCGAGAAAATGCGAGCATAATTTTATAGCGCAAAACAGGGTCTGGAATTCACAATAAACTGTCAAAGTGAGCTAAAAAATTGCTTTCTTCTCTTTTAACGAATGATGATACAAGCTCAAAAACTACTCATCACAGCCATTGTATCGGCCATTGGCTGATTTTATTTGAGCATGGCTCGTTTGGTTGTTGCTCAGGCCGCCGCGAAAGTTCGCGACTCGTCGTCACGCTCCTGCGATTGCACTTAAAAGCCGCATATTCGAAGAAGAAAAACAAAGAGAGAAAAAGTGCTCAAGATCACAAGTTGGCGTGACGTACTTTCTTTCGCCGTGCCATTTCTCCCTGCTTAGCTTCCAGCGCTTTCGTCGGGACGAGAGAATGTAATTGCAGCGTGCAGTAAATCTATGTAACTTTGCTCATACTGGACAGATTCTAAAAATTTTTGCGCCGGTAAATTCGTGAGACAAGAAGCTTCTTTCTTCATGGAATTGAATCTATTACTACTTGAAAGAGTTGCTGGGCCCCTGTAACGGACCGTGCGAGTTTTTACAAGCACAATAGAGGGACCTGTGGGGCCATAGCTCTCGCCTACGTGATCCTTCACAATGCCTTTCCTGATCGACGGTGGTGCTTAGAGGAAATCCTGCTTCTAAGATTTGTTCTTTGTTTTTCAGCATACTTCTGTATATCTTCTGCTGATTTCAAACATGCAATCATTCTTCTAATAGTACACTCAAACCTCATGACAAGGAAGTTGGATCTTACGCGAAATTACGTTCGTTGTATCTGAAACTTTGTTTTAATGGTTTATTCATAACACTATATCTATTTTTCGTTTACTTCGTCATAACTGATATTTCATTCTATTGAGATTTGAGTTACAGTATTAATTTCTTAGAATAATTACGGCCTGGTATTAATTGTTTGAGGGACGATTTATTTCTAAACTAATAGTTATAAAGTTAATCAGCATACCTCAATAACGTGGCATCTGTACTGTATGCAGTAAAACAAGTAGGCATGTTTCTGAACTCATTTGAACAAAAGATGACAGTAGTGCATCGAACATTTGCGAGGATCTGTGAAGCGAGGATTTACTCTCAGAAGTTCAGTGTATCATAACATTTGTTCAGATGGGTTCGGGACATCTATATTTATTTTGCTGCATAAAATATTCATTCCAGGTTATCAAGGGATGCTGATTTGTTTTTAAATAGTGCAATGTTCAGAAATGACTTTTACTCTTGACAGGTTACATGAAACTTCTGATATTTTAAAAACTGTGAGTGGTACTGGAAAAATTATTGCATATGTGCAAACCTTAATATAATGAACATGGATATAACAATTATCATATATAACGAAGTGAAGAATAATTTTGTCATAGGTATAGTGTTACGAATATGAGTTTATAATGAATTTTCGGATAAAACAAAGTATTTTCATGGCAGGTGTTGCTGTTGTAATCAGGTTCGACTGTACTTGAAATCGGGACGTGATAATACATCAGCTTCCATGTTTCGTAGAAGTTTGCTCAAAAGTGAAAAAATGTGTGTCTAAAGTAGATCCCATTATTCATTATGAATGAATGAATGCACGAGCCAATGCGTCGTTCTGTCAATTGGTTTCTTATCAATTGCCGGATTTCATCACGAAGCAACAGTTCCAGAATGGCCTTTTGAGATAACGGCAGCTGAATGGAGGCAGCTCGTTAAGGTGCGCAGCGGCGATACCTGCACGTCTCGTGCTTCGGGATTGTCGTTGGGGGTCATTGTGTCGCGCTTCGGAGATTTCCCCGAACTTGGAAAAAGTGGAGTGTTTTGATGTGCTTTCTTCTGTCCACTTCTGGGCGATTGGCAGAGTCTAATCTATTCGCTGCTGGGTGTGGCTGAGGCGGAGATAATAAAAGTGAGAGGTTTCGCTGTGGCAGTGAGAGTGGCAGGTGTTGCTGTGCTGCACAGGCGACGTGTAAAGATGCTTGTAAAAGGTGGTTCTTGCAAAGAAGAAGAAATAAAAAGCATTGCAAACTCGAGATTCGTAGAAGTGTGGCAGCTTGGGCTAGTTGGTATGGCATGACGATAGTTATAGCGCGAGAACAGAACGACGACACAGAGACAAGAAGGACACGAAAGACACGAGCGCTAACTTCCAGCTGAGTTTATTGCGCAGAGCACGAAAATATATAGAGGAGACAGTAACCATGTGATAAAAACCATATGGCACAAAGGGCAGAACATGAGTAAGAGAAAAAACAAAGGCAAAAAAACAAAAGCACAGAAAAACGACAAAGAAAAATTTATAAGAAAATGAAACATAAAAGTAAAGATAATATAACTACTTGCGCGCACCGAAACTTTCGAGGAACCTGCGTTCTTTCTTGGGCAGAGCCACGGAGGGCTTGCTAATACAAGGCACCTGTTGGCATGCCATCTGCGCGGCCTCGACAATGACTCGGGTGCGTTCATCTCTGTGCTTGTACAGCGTCACTGTGTCCTTGAAAAGGGGCACACAATTGCACTCCGTGCAGTGCTGAGCAAGAAAACCATCTTGCAAGCCCTCCGCGGCTCTGTCCGAGAAAGAACTCTGGTTCCTCGAAGGCTTTGGTGCGCGCAAGTAGTTATATTATCTTTACTTTTCTGTTTCGTTTTCTTATAAATTTTTCTTTGTCGTTTTTCTGTGCTTTTGTTTTTTTTTGCCTTTGTTTTCTCTTACTCATGTTCTGCTCTTTGTGCCATATGGTTTTTATCACATGGTTACTGTCTCCTCTATATATTTTCGTGCTCTGCGCAATAAACTCAGTTGGAAGTTAGCGCTCGTGTCTTTCGTGTCCTTCTTGTCTCTGTGTCGTCGTTTTGTTCTCGCGCTGTTTGTGCAGTGTTTTATAAGACGTGCAGCCGGTGTCGAGGGCTTCTGGACGAGAAGACACCAGAAAAAGCTGAATATTCCTGTTGCTTCGGCAGGCAGGTTTGATGTTGAAGTTTTAGCTTTTCTGGAACCCGATGATAACACATTCCGTGCAGTTCGACTAAACAGTTTCAGACTGCCGGGAAATTCAAAATTTGATCATACTTAGTGGTCCTTAAACTTTTGATGCTGACTGTACATCGTGTACAGGTTAGCCCTGCTTTCACTTCTGCCGGCCGTTAGAAAGACAGTAGTACCTTTGTTATGACCTAACTAAAGTGTATAGGGTTTAAGAATTGCACTTTGAGATGCCAGAACTGTTTATCCTACAGTGAGCTAAGCTAACCTAATTCAAGCTGAATTAGTAAATTGCATTTGTGAGATGAAACAACTCTTACAGTGAGCAAGGACTTGGCAAGCCCCCCCCCCCCCCCTCCAAAAAAAAAAAATGTGACAAAGTAACACAAAAAAAAAAACTGCCTGGATGTTTCTTCCATTTACTTCTCGGGAGACATGAGACTGGCGTTGTGTCTCTCTATGCACTTGCCGATAGTTCGTTATCGGACAAGCAATACGTTGCATCCTGAAAAAAAAACAGTCTTATAGCTTACCTAGTGTTAAGAACTCCTTGTGAGTGGAAAGTTTCGTCAGGCATGGGAAAATTTTAAGTTCCAATGAAACAATAAAAACACAACTTTAACAAACTGGTGTTAACAAACTGGTGATGCTGTTTGGGCCTGAGATTCATCTCCTTTAACAAATTTTGGTCGAAATCATTAATAAAGGCTTACTTCATTAAATGATACTCGGCTAGTATTGCATTAGTTTAATGCCATCTGAAGAGTTTCTTCCCCCACAAGATTGAGGGGCAGATTTAAAAAACCGCCAGGCCAGCACGGAAGGCGCAGCACTGTCACAGCGACATCTGGAAGAGCGGCTTTTCAGAGCTTTTGTTTTTTTTAAAACACTCTTCAGGTAACTGCTTTAAGCACACTTGCAGGGTACCCACTACGCCATCAGTCATTGTGTAGTAGGCAGACATTCACTATGCCGTCCTTTGTCATTCTTCGGAGAAGAGTGGTACCTGCTACACACTTGCACAGAATTTTGTGCAGTTTTTTATGCTGTGGCTGATGACGACGAAGAATTATGCCATAAGCTTTTGTAATCCCCCACAATGGGTATGCATCACAGTTAATAATTGATATGTAAGGTTTAACGTCCAAAACCACCATATGATTACGAGAGACGCCGTAGTGGAGGGCTCCAGAAATTTCGACCACCTGGGGCTCTTTAACGTGCACCCAAATCTGAGTACACGAGCCTACAACATTTCCGCCTCCATCGGAAATGCAGCCGCCGCAGCCGGGATTCGAACCCGCGCCCTGCGGGTCAGCAGCCGAGTACCTTAGCCACTAGACCACCGCGGCGGGGCTGCATCACAGTTAATAGGTGAACAAGATCAAGCTTCTGTAATGGGTTGGAGCATTCAACGACCCACTCGTTCCACAATTCACATTGTGTGACACTTGGTTGTTTCTTTGCTGCTTTAAAAGGCTTTATTACTTGATTAGTGTGATTCCTTTCCCAACATCAAGCCCGTCTAAGGCCAGCTTGCAGCGGAGTTCCAAGCACCAATGTAGTTCTACAGTAGAATACTGGGGTGGCACGCAGGGGACCCAGATTCAAATCACACAGTGTTCTTTGGGTTATTTAATTACCGTGTCTTTTCCTTATTTCGTGTGATGGTGGTTACAGACACCAGCGGTGGACAACTACGGCACACGCGACCCTTGTTGCGATCTCGCAACAGCTTTCGCTGTAAAACTGTAAATGAAAGTGAACTGGCTGAACGATTCTGAAGGCATTTGTCGCGAGCTACATTGCTGGAGTTCTTTTTGCAAGTTTTAGAAAACGTTGATGGTAGCTCGTAAGATGCTGTCATGTGGCATATGTGTGAAAGAACATCTTCACCCGAGAAATCAAATAATGGAAAAGATTAATGTCATAATCATCATCAGCACAATCAGTTTGACTAATTTTCTGCACCATTTTCACGATCTGAATTTTTCGCCTGAAGCACGCATAATATCCTTTCACCCTTCTGTGAATCAATTGTGCACCTGCCTATCGCTTGTCGTAGACCAACGGGTTTCACCTTATCCAAGTTTTGAGAGGACAGATACCTTTTGTGTTCCAAGCCAACATTTTCCATTCAGGCGAGAAGCTTTCACCCACACTCTCAACCTTGTTTTGTTAACCTTGAGAGGCAGTGTCGTCGTCGATGGAAGCGTTATCTCTTTACATACGCTGTAAAAGAAACAGAAACGCTATCTAGGGACAGCGTAGAGGAGGCATAAAGGAATGCGCTGTCTAAACACCATCTCTGGCAATCATGGGAAACGCCCGGTACTTTGCTGTCAGTTCGCCGTCGGCAAGGTCGTGTATTGCAGTTCTGCCGCTTCCATTACCTAGTTCCTTGCAGCGCCGTTTTTCTGCGAACGCTTCATCGTAGATGCAGTAACAGCCAGAGTGCACGAACCTGCCCTGAGAATGCAGGCCTGTGTGGGCAGGTGTATATCCCATCGGCACGAATGGCCGTGGCACAGAACGTGCGGTGAAGGAGAGAACGTATTCCCGAGACTTCTCTAATGTTGTTCAGTTAGACAGGTGTCTAGGTTACAAGTAATCCCCTAAGAAGGACATTACGCAGAAAAAACAAAATTTTCTAGCATTAGCAAATTACTCTTTCATGATACCAAAAACACGGCGCTAGCTGTGGGAAGATGCTTAATAGGCTAGAAAATTCAATTGGTCACACCATTTTGAAACGCCTGTACCGCATGAACCAGTTCACGAGGTGGTGCACCTTGCCAATTGTTTCAGCGGTTTCAGCACTGACGACCTGTGAACCCTGCCATTAATTTCGAAAGGTCCAGAAGAGGTGCAGCACTGGTTCACGATTTTCCTGCACCTCCAACGCTGAAGGTGCCGGCTTGGTGCAGCCACGCGTGCAGCCGAGCAGACAACGCAGCGCTTGGGCGTAGGCGCCGTACCCGCCTCTATTAACGGCGCGTGTTTTGCCAAAATGTTTGCCCCTCATAAACTGTCTGAATGTGTGGTTTGCGATCAGTCAGTGTTTGCTGAATGGTGTAAATTATGGGAACAGAAACAAGGCCTGCACCTTGTCGACACATCGTCATTTGTTCCAGGTGTTGCGCTGTGCCTGCACCGCTGAACTCCTGCTGCACAATTTCTGAACTTCACGTGCACAGACGTGAATTGGTTCCGATTGGTGCAGGTGAATCGAACGGACCTATAGATTTCAATGGCATCTCTGCTAAACACTACATAGTTTGCAATCGGCAAAAATAAAGTACATCGCCTTGCGAGGGGCCATATACTTGATATACCAATCTTCAGGAAATTTTTCTAAGCCAATCTAGCTAAAATACGAAAAAAATCACTTTAATGTCCAGTACTTTTCACAGAGTAGATTATGCGTGCTAACAATCTGCAAGGCGGATTTCTCACGTGTCGTCCGCTTTTCATCGTCTGCAGGTCTATCTGGCCAAAGAAGTCCGTACCAATAAGGAATATGCAAGTGAGTGGTGCACCCCATCGCTGTCTTTTTTGCATTACACTCAATTCTCTTCGCTCTCTCTTCTCCTATTCTTTGATGCATCTTTAAAAATAAATTTCTTCTCCGCTTTTTGTTTTGTTCCAACTTTTTCAGTCAAGGTGTGCTACAAGCAGCACATCATCCGCGAGAAGAAGCAGCGGGCCATCATGCGCGAGAAGCAGATTCTGCGGATACTCAGCGCTCGACCCCACCCCTTTTTCATCCGCCTTCACTCCACGTTCCACGACGCAAACAAGCTCTGTATCCTTGTCTCATCGTCGCCACTGTTTTGTTACATTAATTGGCCTAGGCACAGTAGTTGCCGATAACACTGCCACGAGAAAAATTGTACGCCGCTGTTTAGGATAAATTTTATTAATGATCACATTCTGACGTTGCTCCTGACGACGAAAAGAAAGCTTTATCGGAGTCATTATCGCTGAACTATTTTTGGGTTCTTCAGTAGTACCCCGTTTGTCTACCTTAGCTTAGTGTACAACAAGTTAAACAGCTGTAACAAGTGGTAGTTTGAAATTTAAAACAAAAATATTTACACTATAACAGAGAATGCAATTTTCATTGCTATCTATGGCTTAATTGGTACATCATTGCATGTCCACAAGTAGCTGGTCGTACCTTTCTTGTTCTGATATCTTGACTGAAGCCACAGTTTAAAACCCTGTGCTTTTCTTGGCTTTGCTGTCTGCTAGCATTTCGCATGTATGTCTGAGAATTTCACGCTTTAAATTTCATTTTCGTTCAAGTTTTTCGAGCTGTCGCTTCGAGCAATCCTTGACCCCCGCCGTGCAGATTTCGTGGTTACCTATGCAAAAAACGGGGAGCTCCTACCGCACATTGTCAAGTATGGGTCGTTTGATGTCGACGTGACGCGATTCTACACGGCCGAGATCGTCTCGGCGTTGGAGCACCTTCATTCTTTAGGCATTGTGCACAGGTGAGCAGAGCTCGTTTGAGTGTGGTTTCTCTGAGACCTCTACTCATTCGTAACCTTGATGACTTAAAGGGACACGTTTGGTATGACCTTTGTAGCTTGCGTGTGCTGGACGATGAACGACGGATACACCAGCCAAAATGTACTGTTAAGGAATAAACTGCACTAGAGGCAGAAGTTGGGCTGGTTGGGGATTCACTCTTGGGGTGTAAAAACAGCGCGAAAATAGAGACAAGGACCGAAAAAAAAGACGATGGTTGCAAGGCACCCTGTCGTCTCTTCTTCAGTCCTTGTTTCTATTTTCACGCTGTTTTTACACCCCAAGTACTCTTAAAGGTTGGACAACTCGTGAGCTTAGCAGTGAAGTGTGAAACGTGCCCGTTTACTTTGAGTGCTGGAGGACGAAGGACAGATGTGCCAATAAGAACTACCGTATTTACTCGATTCTACCGCGCCCTCGATTGTAACGCGCACCTGATTTTCACCGCGAAAAAAAAAAAAACGTAAGACATTGATTGCAACGCGCACCCATTTTTCTCGCTGGCCCGCACGATCACACCACTCGAAAAAACGACTCCTTTCGGGAGCGTCTTCCATTTAAATAGAAGGTACGGGCGAAGCTTGTGCCCATCTGACGTGTAACAGAGCATTGCCGTCACTGTAGTTTTACCGTGGACCGATGTCAGCACGCAAACTTGCTTCGCCCCCTTCTTCTCGACGGTTGTGGTGCCAGGCATGTCGAAGTAAAGAGGCGTCTGATCGGCATTCCCGATTTGCCCAAGCAGGTAGCCGTTGTTGCGCCGCAAGTTTAGGACGAACCTCTGAAAACTGTGAAGCTTTTCATCGTACTCCTCCGCAAAACTTTTCACATATGCATGTTCCTCTTCGGAGGGAAAAGCCTTTCCTCTTCATAAAGTTAGTTTGCCAGCAGTTAGCCAGATATGCTCGCTTTAAACTGGCTCCGCATTAGACCTTTTTCTAAGACTAATTGCATAGCCCGCACTTGGAGCAGTTCTGTCGTCACGGGCCGCTGTGCCGCTCAATGCTCAAGCACATACTCGCCGAGCAGCTCTTTAATTTGCGGAAACCGACCCTGCTGTGGTCCACTGAAGCCTTTGCGTGAAGCTTTGCTGTCGACAATCTTCTGCTTTTGTTTCCGCCGGTCCCGCACGCACGTTTCGAGAACTCTGAACGACCGCGATGCGGCCTTATTTCCGTCCGTTTCTGCACACGCGATGACTTTTCTTTTAAAAGCGGCATCGTGGTGCACTCGAGTTCTTGGAGTCGGCCCTTCCACGCCGTCGATGCTAATGCACTACTAGATGACGAACTCCTCAGCACACGTACGAAGTGCCGCACATGGGAAACACATAGGCAGAAACGGCGGACGCGCCATGCCGACGCACGTAGGGGGCGGCCATTTTGGATTTGCCGATGGCAATAGATTGACCGTAATTTTTTTGTTCGTACTCGATTCTAACGCGCATGCGATTTATGAACTCGCTTAACCGGAAAAAAGGTGCGCGTTAGATTCGAGTAATCACGGTAACTGTTGGTGTAGCTGGTTGATTGCAGCAGCGAACGGCACTGAAGAGCACAAAGGTAGATTAAAGGCAGGCGGTCCAAGCGCACATTCTAAGAACTCGACATTTATTTCCCAAACAATAGTACTGGTTGTGCGAACCGTACGGTGTACAGTAGTAAATTCAGAGATACATGAAAGTACAAGGACTGCAAAAAAGTCGAGTCTAGTTCCCGTGCATAGCATATTGATAAAATGCAGACATCCACATCTGATAGCAGGCTTGTTGCTGGAATATAGGCATAATCAGTATTTTTCTTGGTGCTAGATTATAATGTTACGAGTAACTTGTTTAATGAGCTATTTACAGCGCAGAGAACCCGACGAGCAAGATGGCGTCAGACCAGCATCCAACGGAAAAAACCCACTTCGTCCTCCTCTTTCATGCAGCCGTGTTTAGCGGCTGTTTTGTATCATAACCCCCGGCGGTAGAAGCACCGTCCCGGTTCTAAATTTACGCAGATGATGTCGAAGGGGGTAATAGGGCTTAAGCCGAGCCACGTGAACGGTGTCGCTCGGAGCTGACGATGACTTTGTTGGATCGGTTGGAACAATCTCGTACGTGACGTCTGTCACTTGGCGAACGATACGGAATGGTCCAGTGTAGGGCAACAACAGTTTTTCCGACAGTCCCACACGCCGAGTAGGTGACCAGAGAAGCACGAGAGTACCCGGAGAAAAGTGCACGTCCCTATGGTGAGAATTGTAGAGCTGTTGTTAGCGCGCCTGTGAAGCCTGTAGACGGTTACGGGCGACTTGGCGCGCGTGGTCGGCGCGGGCAATGGCTTCACCAGCATATTCAGTGGCCACAGGTAGTAACGTGTCTACAGGTAGAGTTGGGTCCCGGCCATATAGTAGATAGAAGGGCGAATATCCGGCAGTGTTGTGACGAGATGAGTTGTAGGCGAACCGTCACATACGGCAAATGAATGTCCCAATCATGGTGGTCTGGCGCAACGTATTTGGCAAGCATATCGGTTAGGGTCCTGTTAAGGCGCTCCGTGAGGCCATTTGACTGGGGATGGTACGAAGTAGTAAATTTGTGCTTGGTATCGGAAGACCTCAGGATTTCATGAACGACAGCTGATAAGAACGTGCGGCCACGGTCGGTGAGAAGTGACGGGGAGCACCGTGCACTAATATTATGCGTACAGCAGAAGTCCGCAACGTCGGTAGCGCAGCTGCATCATTGCATGTCCACAAGTAGCTGGTCGTACCTTTCTTGTTCTGATATCTTGACTGAAGCCACAGTTTAAAACCCTGTGCTTTTCTTGGCTTTGCTGTCTGCTAGCATTTCGCATGTATGTCTGAGAATTTCACGCTTTAAATTTCATTTTCGTTCAAGTTTTTCGAGCTGTCGCTTCGAGCAATCCTTGACCCCCGCCGTGCAGATTTCGTGGTTACCTATGCAAAAAACGGGGAGCTCCTACCGCACATTGTCAAGTATGGGTCGTTTGATGTCGACGTGACGCGATTCTACACGGCCGAGATCGTCTCGGCGTTGGAGCACCTTCATTCTTTAGGCATTGTGCACAGGTGAGCAGAGCTCGTTTGAGTGTGGTTTCTCTGAGACCTCTACTCATTCGTAACCTTGATGACTTAAAGGGACACGTTTGGTATGACCTTTGTAGCTTGCGTGTGCTGAACGATGAACGACGGATACACCAGCCCAAATGTACTGTTAAGGAATAAACTGCACTAGAGGCGGAAGTTGGGCTGGTTGGGGATTCACTCTTGGGGGGTAAAAACAGCGCGAAAATAGAGACAAGGACCGAAAAAAAAGACGAGAGTTGCAAGGCACCCTGTCGTCTCTTCTTCAGTCCTTGTTTCTATTTTCGCGCTGTTTTCACACCCCAAGTACTGTTAAAGGTTGGACAACTCGTAAGCTTAGCAGTGAAGTGTGAAACGTGCCCGTTGACTTTGAGTGCTAGAGGACGAACGACAGATGTGCCAATAAGAACTAACTGTTGGTGTAGCTGGTTGATTGCAGCAGCGAACGGCACTGAAGAGCACAAAGGTCGATTAAAGGCAGGCGGTCCAAGCGCACATTCTAAGAACTTGACATTTATTTCCCAAAAAATAGTACTGGTTGTGCGAACCGTACAGTGTACAGTAGTAAATTCAGAGATACATGAAAGTACAAGGACTGCAAAAAAGTCGAGTCTAGTTCCCGTGCATAGCATATTGATAAAATGCAGACATCCACATCTGATAGCAGGCTTGTTGCTGGCATATAGGCATGATCAGTATTTTTCTTGGTGCTAGATTATATATAGCTGTATATTATATATTCGTTATTTATTAACTGTCCTTGGAGTCAATGAGGAGTATATAGTTAAACAGGAGGCACTGCCTGAATGCCCGCACAGCAAGTAATTGACGCCTTCAAGTGCATCATTCCTTGAATCAAGCAAATAGCCTTCTGTGGAAGCATTTGGCTATTTGCATAGATAATGATCTGTGTTTACCACTTGGGCATTCTTTGAAGTGCATTTATTATAACAGCACTGCTTATGTCACTAACTTTTTTTTTGTTGTTGTTTCCCACAGGGACCTTAAGCCAGAGAACATTCTTTTGGATGAGCGAATGCACGTTCAGATCACCGACTTTGGCTCTGCGAAGATTATTTCGAGGGAATTCTGTGGTGAGTTGCTCTTTTTTTTTTTTCACATTGCATGGTTTGCTTGAAACTTCATGCTGAACTGTAAACACATACCCATTGTAAGCCTACTTCAAGGGACAAGCCATTGTCATGGTACAGTGGTTACGACTCGTGGCTGTTCAGCTGAAGGTTTTGTGTTTGATCCCGGCCGTGGCATTTCGATTGAGACTATGCGCCAGAGAGGTGTGTACTGTGGGATATCAGTGGACAATAAGGAACGCCAGATGGTCGAAATTTTCAGAGCCCCCCACACACACACTTTGTGCCTGATAATATTGTTAATAAGTTGGACTAACAGACAAGAAAGCCTAGGAAATTAAAGAGAGCATACGACTTTTAAAGGAGGTTTCTATTGCTCAATCTGTAGAACACGCTATTCGAAGGGTGCTGGTCCTGTTCCTGTCGGTGGCGAGTTATCTCTTTTTCCACTTTACTTTCTTCTCGTTTATGTTATAATTATTATGATTACTACAGGCAGCATCCCATATACTTTTTTGGCTTTTTTTGTATGTTCTAACTATGACCAAAGAAAAACGGGCCCTTAATTATTCCCCTTCCTTCATTCATATTATAATCATATTATAGCTTTCGCCTGCAAAAACCCCTGCAATTATAATGAATGCTGAGCTAGTCGTTAGGTGTTCATCGTAGAAGGAGGTAGGTAAGCTTCTCTTGTCGTGAAGCCCACTTCATTTGCGGCTTCTAAGTAACAGACATCTAGATGCACCCGTCACATGGTCACCTCCTGTTTTATTTTTTTGTTGACACTTCCAAGCAAGCTTTCATTGACCCTCTGGGTTTGCCTAAGGGCACAGAAGGGAAAAACTTAAAGAGCAACAAATTTTTTAATAGTGTAAATACCTTAAAATTTAAGTCCTAGTGGTGAAAAGTTCACCGGCATTATAATATTCTGCATAATTTAACAGCTCTGGTACAGTTAAAAAGAGCACAAAATTTGGAAGAAAACTATGTGGGTTCCCTTTTGGTTACTGACGAAGCAAGTTTCTCGACATGGTCGAAAAGGCATTGAACGTGTTACAGGGGCGTTACCCTGTGCCCGTAATAGAAGCGTGCTGTAATTCTAGTTGGCAGTAGTTTACCGGTTACACTTCCACGCCAGCAATGGCTCCCTCTTTTTGCCAACGCAGTGGGGTCGGCAGACAAAGTGAAATTTTTTCCTTGTTGCAGATGAGGTGGACATTGGCGAGATCGAGCTCAACGGCCACAATTCCTTTGTGGGCACGGCCCAGTACGTGTCGCCGGAAATGCTCTCGGACAAGAGCTGTTCACCGAGGTGAGTTAGCTCCGCGTGTCACACCATCTTTATTTTTTGCAACGACTGCATGGCATAAAAAAAATTCGTGTGGGGCTTCGTTTTCGATCCAACCCCTTGAGTCACGACATCCGCATATGAGAATACTACTGATTTTGCGAGTGTTTTTGGAATAGTTCGTAGCCAAAGAGAGTGCAAAATACGTTCTTCATAGGATGAATCGAACCTTATGCACTGTCAGTGTGTCTTGGCTTAACATCACTTTGCTTAGTATAACTGTCGTTCATCACTTCTGTGAAGCTAATACTGTGTTCTACAGGATGTTTGACGTACTGTGGTCTGAGACCAACACTAAAGCATTATTTTACTTTGCTCTAGAGGAATAAAAAGACCAGAGAAGACAAGATAGGGGGATGCGTAAAAAAGAAAATGTGCGTGCCTTTTGGGCCTGTAGTTTAGTTTTCTTTTTTTTCTAAGGCAAGAACAGGGCATAACCAATTGTAGAGTAATTAAATATGTAATTAGATGCTAATCGTGAATAATTATTGAAACTTGTGCAAACAACCATTTTACTTTATTTTTTTTTCTTGGAAGCAAATATAGAGAGCCTTAGAATCTACTGTGTGAATTTGGTACGTTTGCTAGCAGCGAATCGAAATTCGCCCCTGAAGTAGTTAAATGCTTGCGCCAGCTTTCAGCGCATGCAAGTTTCCCACATACAAAGCCCGGCAGATTTGGGTATCGAGGAAAGAGAAGTGCACCTGAAGATAGCAGCAAGTTCAAGAGGGTAAAGTGGTGAAGTTAAGTTGGTTAGCATTTGACCGGGAAAAGAAAAGTGTTTTTAGAGGTGAAACTGGATGATGCACATCGTTCCTTGTTCACTTTCTTTATCAATATCCTTCTTGATGCACTGCGAGTTTCACCACCAAAAAAGCTTGTTCTCACATCCTTCGAAGTTTTAATGTAATGCTTGGAAATCTCTTAAGTAGAAGAAAACACAGCATGAGACCTGCTAGTCTGCAACTCGTAACATTGAAAAGTTGTGCTGTTTCATTCCATGATCTATCTTGTTTATTCTACCTAACAGCACCGACCTCTGGGCTCTAGGTTGCATCGTCTACCAGATGATCTCCGGCCTACCTCCGTTTCGAGCATCGTAAGGATTTTTTTTTTTTCGTTTGTTCATTCTTTTTCACGGCGGTTGTCACCTCATATGAGGACTTTGTTGTTTCATCCTCGATAACCGAACGAGCCATTGCTTTGTGGTCTTGTTAGTTTAGACAAACCAAAGACAGCAGGCTGAAATTCTGTTGACTGGCCTACCTCCGTTTCGAGCATCGTAAGGTTTTTTTTTTTTTTTTTTTCGTTTCTTTATTCTTTTTCACGGTGGTTGTCACCTCAGATGAGGACTGTGTTGTTTTTCATCCTCGATAACCGAACGAGCCATTGCTTTGTGGTCTTGTTGGTTTATACAAAACAAAGACAGCAGGCTGAAATTCTGTTTACTGGCCTACCTCCGTTTCGAGCATCGTAAGGATTTTTTTTTACGGCGGTTGTCACCTCAGATGAGGACTGTTGTTTCATCCTCGATAACCAAACGAGCCATTGCTTTGTGTTCTTGTTAGTTTAGACATAACAAAGACAGCAGGCTGAAATTCTGTCGACTGGCGAAGCTATGAAGCTTGACTTCTCTGAATCTTAACATACAGTAAATAGAAATCGCTCGGATGTAACTGCTGTCTGAATGAAACGACTGCCCCCGAATGACTAGCTTCGTACTTTGAATATACCTCACCCCTGTTCATCTCTCAGTATAACGTAACTTCTGTTAAATAGAACAGATTTTTCTGGTTGCTTCAGGTTCCTTTTAACCTGAGTCTACTTACTGTTGTGATGGCCTGGACCAAGAAAATTGCATTTAGCCCTTCGCAGTCCGTACCCACCTTCCGTGTTTCCTGGTACAAAACTAAAAGAATCAAAGCTGAAGTGAAAGAAGTATACTTATTCTTGTTGGGGATGTAGTAAGAAAATGCATAGCCAATTGTCCGCTAAATAACTTCTCCAGCGGTGCCCGACCACGAACCGCTGCGGCTGTGTTCCACTTTGTCGGGCAGGGGCTAACAAAGGACCGCAGAGGTTCAAAAGTATGGGGCACCCTTTTTACACTTTTTTTTTTCATGTCTGGACAAATTGCCTCTTGATGTATGTTCTCCGGCTCATTGCAAGTGTCATTTCGTCGAACCTGTAATATGCCTGCTCTTTTGCAGTGAGCCGGGCAGTAAAACACTGTGATATGCTCTCCTGTGTGTTTCCAACCCTTTCACAGCCGTGTACTAGTGTATTTGTCACGACAATTTCTAATAAAATGATGGACGAGGAGGACACATCGAAAATAGGTCGTCAACGAAAAATAGGTCCACCATGAAAACGGTGAAGACTTTACCCATTGTACTTGTGTTTTTTGGTTCTAGATAGCCACATTTGTCCATGTTTTGCCGTCTGTGTCTCCGCATTCATTATATTGCCATTTTTTATTTTATTGCCATGCAGTGAAGCCATCTTTGAGTCAACTTTTTCTGTGTGATTAAAGATATAAAAGAACTCCATTGAACTAAAAGAATGGTACTGTTTTTTTTTTGTTTTTTTTTTTTCAGAAAAAAAAAACTCTACTAACTTAGTGAAAAGAATTTTTTTGGTGATTTTCGCATGTCTTTTGTTCTTTTTCATTTAGTCACCAAGATTAGTGATTGCAGAGAGTGATCGATGTTATGCACGGTGTATTAGCATCACGTTAATGACAACCATTTTGATTGTTGGCTCTTTACGTGCTGTAGTAACGAGTTTTGTCTTGAGCAGCAGTCTTGTATGTAAAACCTCTGCGTGTCGTCCTTTCTTGTCTCCCCAGGAACGAGTATTTAACGTTCCAAAAGATTCTTAAGCTGAAGTACGAGTTTCCCGACGGCTTCAACCCCGTGGTTAGGGACCTTGTGGAGAACCTTTTGGTAAGTTGTCCCTGGAGGGGCCACCAATATTACTTCTCTTACGATTACAGTCGGGCAAAACGTTTCGGGTTACCTTCATAATTTCATTACTTATATGTTTTATCCAGCTCAGCTTGCGAAATTTCAGGCTCGTATACAGCCTTGTAACGTTATCATAGTTCACATCTGTCACGTATCATCGTGAATCATGGGTAAATGTTACTTTTTTATCATTTTTCATGGCACTTTTTTGTCAAGTGTGGCTTTTGCATGACTAAAACCCAGATATCGTCGATTATATCTGTGCAATCTTTGGCCTCAGATGCCTTCGCGTCAATAATATGTAATAAGGATGATTACAGTTGTGTATCGTCGAACCTTGATATGACAAAGCTGCATGGGGACTGTAAGTCTGTTGGTTCAATGTTTGTGGTAGCGGCAGAGATTGGCACTAACAAGTTGGCAGTCTGGCTCACGCTATAATCTTATATACAAAAACTAACAATTCTCGGCTTGAGACCACTGTAAACGAGGTAATCCATATCTGCCCCCTTGCGGCATTTCGAAGTAAACAGGCCATTTTATGAGCTGGTCAAATCACAACAGAACAGACCTTGTTTGAGAAAACAGGCCTGCGTTTTGCATTTATTTAAAGAAGAATTTGCCAGTACATTTAACTAAATTTCTAATGTCACTGTCACATCTTGACAAAATGTGGTTTTGAATTGTCTTTGAATAATTTTTTTTATGCTGCTTTTACAGTTTTGAGCCTCTGGCAAACTAAATATTACAGCCAATATTGCAGCAACGCTCACATTTTCGGTTTCGTTGTAAAGAATTGCGGGACCCTAAGCTTCGCCTTTCAGGGTTGAACGCGATAGCGAAATCCTGCCCCTAGTGCGCCCTTTAACCGCTAAGTGCGTACTTATTAATATGTGTTGTTACACACACGCACACATGCAAGCGCGACGTATCTATAGTAATGCAGTGACTGTGTAGTGTGGCCACTTCCCTCTGCCAGAACGGGGCTCTGCTGTAGTCAAGACACGTTTTTCACAATGTCTGACAGGTGGCACGCAGATACACACACACAGGCACGCGTGCGCGCTAATGGTACATACAGGTTTTTGATCTAAAGCAAGAGTCTCATGGCCTCCAAAATACATGCCGTGCGCTTGCCATCTGAGAGGTCACGCCAGATCCAGGCGGCCGTGGAGAGGCCATAAAGAGTCTCACAATGCCTCACAGATGGCAGCACATTATCTAGCGTTTGCTGTTTGCTTGATCAACGCCTCTGGAAAGTAATATGTTTTCCGCTAGGTGGACATAGTTGTCCATTTTCAAAGCTGTTTGAAAGTTCCTGTGTGTTGTTAGCGGTGGAGGCTGCACTATCCCGGCCTTTTTCGACATAGTTTGATGGGCTCCCAAATGCGCCTACCAATAGCCCAATGGGCTCGTTTTTGTCGTGACACCTGTCGAACAAAGTGCGTTAAGGAGACTCCTTCCTCTACATGGCATTTATGAAGCAGCTACAAGTAACGAGGTAGCTTTGTGGCAGGATACCTGCCTTGCCACACAAACGGCCCAGGTTCGATCTTCAATAGGTCCGAAAGTTTTATTGTTTATTTTATTTGGTTCTTTCTCGATTTTTCGCTCACGGACGATTTTTCGCTCACACCCAACGGTGCCGACGGCGGAATTTCTGCGACACGAGCTCTCTATCGCTATCACGTTAAAATGATAAGTGCCACTTAAATGCAGCTCTGCCAGTTAAACTTGTGTTTAGTTTACTACCCGACCATTCGCCGTATCAGTGTTCCTTACTGTGAGGCTCAACTGTATCTGAATACTAGGAGCATGTTGGCGTGACTTTTGACAGCTGGCCTGGTATCAACAATGCCTTGTTTGTTTGTTTGTTTTTTGCATACTTATTCATTACCCATGTCGAACATGGGTAGTGTTTTTAGCAATGCTATCTGTGAGAACACCTAGCACATCGAAGTGTAAGTGATATATATGAAATGTATAGCTTATATATACAGTCAAACCCCTTTATTAGGGAGTTGCATCTTATGTAAATAAAATAGATTCGTTATATCCAAAAATTCGTTATAAAGGCATATTCATAACACAGGGTCTATTGCCAGACTAGTCTTCATCTACTTCGTTATAGCTGATGTTTCATTTTATGCATGTTCGTTATATTGAGGTTTAAGTGTATATACGCTGACGTATCAGTACCTCGTGCTTTTTTTAATTTAGGCGCCTTATCAAATCTGAAAGTTGACGGTCAGCGTCATCGTGAACGATGTATTAAAATCGCAGCGGGACGACATAACATGTCACGTGATGCCATCCCATCATATCGTCACTTGGTCAGAAGCGGGCTGATCATAAAGACAGTGCAAAAGCAGATGAAGTGCAGAAAGCTTGCTATGTCACCGATCCTGGAGGATGCACAGTACTGTGTTGTCTGAAATGAAGTGGCATCACCAGTTGACTGTCACTACATTAACAGTTGACTACGTTGCCAATCAGTGTCATTGACGATTTATAAAACTTACTACAGTAAAACTCCTTTCGAAGAGACACTGCTAAAAGAGACAAATGGGTATAAAAGACACCAGTGTGCCTAGAGTAAAATCTTGGTTGATAAGAAAATGCATATGGGGTATCTTGCTTAAAAGAGACATCTCTTATAAGAGACAAGATTTGCTGCCTGCAGCATGCCTCTTATAAAGGGGTTTAACTGTAATCAGTGACTATCAATGCAATGAAAATAAGAAACTCTCGTCAATCAGTTAGGGTTACAGTTTGTGGACGACTAATGATCAACAATCAATAACATCACAAGTTACATCTGACTGCTTCTGCAGTCTTTTTTTGCTCAAGTCTCAACTTGTGACGATAACTCAAAACTTGATGCGGATTTCGCGCAGGTGCTGGACCCCAACCAGCGGCTGGGCGCGGCGACCAGGGGTGGCTACCCGGTGCTCAAGCAGCATGAGTTCTTCGCCGAAGTTCGGTGGGAGAAGCTGCCCGAGACGGACCCGCCCAAGATGCTCCCGTTCCTCCCGGGCACATCGAGCAACGAAGAGCTGCGCTCGCACTACTGCGTAAGCTCGCTAACCCGCGATGCTTCGACAATGCGGCTGTGTTCCGTTTCATACGTAGGGTCGGGCGGTTTGTGGTGTTTTGACGACTCGAGGTGACTCAGGCCACCAGAGATGCCACAATGAGAAGTAACAGGCGATTTCAACGACGTGGGGTTATTGCACATGCACCGAGATGGAGCCGCGCACGGTTCTCGAGGACGTAACCTCTATCATAGGCCGGGAGAGAACGCGAGAGGTTTTTTTTTTTTTTTTTTTTTTTGTGGGGTCAGAAGCCACGCACTCACAACCAGCCGCTGCAAAGTATAGAGTGTGGGAACTAACGCGACAAAAGAAAAATGATGGCTATGACATCATTATAACTTCTTTTATTGACTACAGCGTGGTGACAGGAGGGAAGTAGTGGGTTCCCACAGGGTCCCCCTCGAGGATGTCAATGGCGCGATGAAGTCAAGGGCTCACGCAAACTTTAAAATAATTTAAAATATCTTGCAAGCTATATTCACTGTTCATATATTGCGGATATACGAATGTTCACGGGAATCGACCGTGCAGGCTATCTTGGCCACGAAATGTTTAGTCTGTAGCCCTTTAAAGCCCAGATATTATTATTATTATTATTATTATTATTATTATTATTATTATTATTATTATTATTAATAAAGGTATTTCTAAGATACTCTTGCCATACAATACCCTTGTATCAGCTGCCCAGCCCTGTGAATCGTGGGGTGTGTCAAGCTACGTAATGTTCAATATATCAAGTATTCCAGCAACACAGTCAAATCTGGACATAACAAAATTGATAAATTCCGGAAAAAATTCATTATAAACAGGATTTCCTGATATGCAGGCTTGGTACTAAAATTGGGAAAATAAAAGCACAAATTAAACAAAAGGTGGACTGAAGGCAGAGCCAATCCGAAACACTTATTTTACAGTAAAAAATTGCATTATTATTGCGATAGCAACTATATAGACACTCTCTGCGGGTTTTCGTCATCGCCGCCATGTTCCGTAACAAGTGCGAATTGATCCGCATTCGCGCATCCTAACTTTCACGAGCGGGTAAAAGCGCGCGAGCGCTCCTGAAGCAGAGATAAAATGAGTCGGTCCATCCCTATCGCCTGGAAATTGCATAACATCTTCCACGTGTTAGAACTGTCTCGAATGTTCATACAGAAAGTAAACCACCTGTTTTGAAAGAGCGGCAAACAACGCAGGGGGGGGGGGGGGGGAATTGCCTGAGTAGAAATAATGAACGATTTCAAGTACGATCGCGATCTTTGGCGCGCTTGCTGTCTCGGCGAGTATCAGTGCGGTTTCTATGCCAAGGGACTGTGTGAAAAGAGCACTTCTTTCTGGAGCGGCCGTATTTGCTCACACCAGCATTTTGTAAGAGTTCTGCGATATCGGATCTAAAAGAGTTGGCTGCCAGCTTTACTTATAACATTACAATTTTTCGCTGTCGCATTCATTGCATTGCTTTCAACGTATTGTCATGTTGTTGCCAGAACTAATTGGCAAATGGTGAAAACTACCAGCCCGCGAACTCCCGGCATGGCGCAAAGCGAAAGCGCCTGACGAGTCGACCACTGAAGATCCGTCGTCACCGTGGTCTCGGAGAGTTTCCATCAGCGCCTAATCTGACATCCCCTCGTTGGTGAAGACATGGTTGTCCGAAATTAAAGAAAGTCAGAGTTTCACCGCAAGGTCGGAGCAATGAATGCGATAACAACAATTCTTGGAATGTAACGCTGAGAACGGCAAGCAGATTGAAACATGCAGTGCGCTGGTCACGCACAAATGGCGCAAGAAAACAACATACAAAGGACGAGATGCAACTAACAATGTTTACCGCTCGACACTTAACGCGCTGTTTAAACAAAAACGAGGCATGAAATGTAATCACAGGTACAGATATGAGTGCGAACCAACAATGTGCCCCGGTTGTTACTTTACTATGTTTGAAAAGCGCACTCTTTTTGCTAACGGCGCCTGCCCAGCGAGCAAAGTGATCTTCGTGCGCCCGGCAACTAAACTCAATCGTTCCCCGGTCAAAGTCGAAGGGACGCGATTCTACCCGCCGAAGGATAAGCGTGTGCGCACAAGCATCTAACCCCCACTTCCATTCGCGGGGCAAAGTACACGTTGGAGATAAGCGCATGTCGGTACATCGTGACAAAGGCCTTTTTTTCCTTTTTTTTCTTTCTTGAGTTTTTATATTTATAGATATGTGAATGACGGCGGTGGAGGCAAAAAACCGGCCGAGACACTCCATATACATAATTGCTATTGCAATGAAAAAAAAAGCAAAGCTGAACGTCGTCGGGGGCCACACCATGCGCGCGCAGTGAAATTAAGCACGCGCGCACGGCGTCGAAAACGAAGGCTGAACGGCATGGGCACAGATACCGTGGAAAACTAATCGGCAAAGCGCCCTCCATATGCAGCGCCGCCCCATATATGTGACGCTAACTAAACGTGTGTGACTGCCAACGCGCACAAGTAGTTTTTTTTATTGGTTTTGAGTGAGGGGGGGGGGGCACACCCGCGCATGCGAGCGACGTCGGCAAAGCCGGCTCGTGAGGTGCAGGCCCGCCGAACGGGGCCCACGTGCCTGCTGCCGCCGCTTCCTGCTTCGTCAGCAGCGGGGCAGCCGTGGAAGATGCATGCTCGTACCGAAATGCGAAGCGAAATTCCTCGATTGTCCGTGGGGAAAATTCGTTGTATCAAGGTTGTCTGCCCCTGTTACTTTGCTACATAGAGGTTGCTAACACATGTGGTTCTATGGAGCGACGGCGGGGAATAAAAAAACTTCATTATATCGAGGCATTCGTTATATGGAGGTTCGTTGTAAGCAGGTTTAACTGTACTTTGTTTAATGTAGTGGTACATTTTCTCATGTATTGATGAGAGACATTAAAGGGAAACAGTAAGTTAGTTTTGACTGATAATTTATTCTCTGGAAACTCTAGTTCCACTAATTACACCACCATAAGTCTACTTGTAGGCGAGAAAATCGTCGTCAAAAGTTCACTTAAATTTCCTGCACAAATATTGGATTTTGCCGTTACGGGTTTCAGGATTTTTCTATTTCAGCTGAATTCGCCCGACGAAATTTTCTTAAACTTGGTATGTCAAGTCTCTGGCTTTTTCAGAAGACAGTATGTTCTATTTTTAGCAATTAAAAACAAAGTTAGGCCCCAGTAGACCCTGTCAAGATCTATGATGTCACGGTTCATGGTGCCGAAATTTCAAGGTGGCGTTGTCACCCACATTTGCTTTTCGGACGTCTTCTCGCTTACTGAGGGTCTTCTCACAGTACGTGAGGGAGTAATACAGTAAGTACGAGAAAGTTCTCTTTAAAGTCTCTTCGAAACATTGATGTGTTTGGAAGTAGTTTAATTGCAACAGTTTGATGTGGTCGGTTTCGACTCTGTCAGACTCAATATAGTCATAGCTCCGCTGGCTTTTTACAGCGAAAGCTGTTACGAGATCACATCAAGGGTTGTTTTTGATGCTGTAGTTGTTGGCCACCGTTGGTATCGGTAACCACCGTGGCTCGAAATACGAAAAAAACCTAAATAAATGAAGAAAATTCCGGGGACAAAATTGGATTCGAACCCAGGCCCTGTGCGGGACAGCGCAGTAGTCTACTCGGAGCTACGTGAGTGCCTGAAACTCCGTTGCAAACTGACCTTAGGCTGGCTTCATGTCGGAGGAGTCACGTTATTATCTGTAATAAAGCATTTTAGAACTGCAAAGCGACAACCAGGCGTCTCACAATACGAATTGCATAACGAGCGTGTGTCGTCCAATGCTCCAACTCGTTACAAAAGCCTCGGGCATAATTTTTCATTGTCGTCAGCCACAGCATCAACGTAATGCACGTAAATCCTTGCAACTGTGTAGCAGGTACCACAGTTCTCTGAAGAATGAAGAACAATGGCACAGTGGACATTTCTCTACTACACCAAAATTATGTTGATTTATGGCATAGTGGTGGTGGTGGTGAAAAACATTTATTTGAAGAAAGAGAGGTGTAGGACCCCATTAGAGGTTTCTACAGACTAGGTGAAGTCTCTATTCTGGGACCCCACTGGTTGAAGCCTCCGTCCTGGCTCTCTGGACCAAGGCCGGCTGGGCCTGAAGGTCGGAGCAGCCAAGCAGGGCCGCCTCTCAGTCCTCTCGCCTAGGGTTTGGACAGGAGTAATGGCTACGTTATCTTGGCAGGCCCACACCATGTGGTAGGTGTCTTCCACCTCCCCACAGTGCTGGCACTCACCTGTGACCGTAGGGTCGAAATTCTTTACTATGGCAAGACATAGCAGTGTATTAGTCTGGAGGCGAAGCAAAATGCACTCCTCTGCTTTTTTAAACCCCCTTGCAGATGGTTGAAGAAAGCAGGTAGTGGCAAGGTAGTGGCAAGGTAGCGGCAATGACTTTCCCGATAATAATGAAGAATTTCCTTATATCGGCGGAGAGGGTCGGTCTCCATCAGCATTTACGAAGGCAGGCCAGAAGTGAGCGCTCGAGCAGCCTAATTTCCCTGCAATTCCTGATGGCCTGCTGTCCGTATCATGCGTGGATGAGAGTTCGTGTCTCTTCTGCAGTTGTGCAGTATTGTCTCGGCTAACGGTGATATGTACCCAGCTATACAACCACGACACGCTCGGCGCGAATCCTTGATAATATACCGGGAATTACTGTGAGAGGCCGCAAAGGCAATGGCGACTTCCTTGGCCTGTGTTACAGAATATGCCCGGAAGGTTAACCCATCCACCTGTGTGCCTTCATGAATGGCAGCCACTGTGTTCCACCCCTAGGAGTTGGGGCCAGCAACGTCCACGTAGTGCACACCTGGCTTACCCTGCAAGTGTGCTTGTAGCATTTATCCGAACAGTGTTTAAAAAAATGATCTGAAAGGCCACTCGTTCCAGCTTTACCTGCAACTGTGCTGCGCAGGCCTGTCGGCGTTCTTTAAAAGGCTCTCAGCTTTT